TCATTTGTGACTACAGAACCAGAAAAAGTTCTGTAGATGCTTATATTTTTTTTAAATGCATGTTGTTCAGGACACAATCAAAAAGATACAAAAAACTCTTCAGGCAACAGAATGAAGTGGATTAATTATGAAAGCATAGTGGCATAGATATTATTTCTATATCATTCTTATCAGATTGGTTGTTTTTTAAGCTTTTTTTCCCCTAAGTGAAGTAACTGCATACAGACTTGCTCATAGCGTTTGCAGCCTCAAACTATGCCTGGCACAACTGAAAGATTTACACCATCCTGGATATTTTTCATATTAGTGCCCTTTTGGGCCTGATTCTGGTCTCACTTAGACTAAGTCTACAGTACGGACTTTACAGCTATACCTCTGCAATTGTGCCACTCTCATGCTACTGCTCCATGCAGATGGCAAAACTCTCTCCTGTCTGCATAATTAAACCACCTACAACAAGCAATAGTAGCTATAGAGCTGTCCACAATGGCATGTCTGTGGGGGTATTGGTCGGGGAAGGATTTTTTTTCCACGTCCCTGATGGACAGAAGTTTTACTGACAAAAGTGCTAGTGTAGACGTAACCTTACATTACACTTAATCAAAACAACCCTACTGTGAGTCGGATCCAAATCCTATCAAAGCAGAATCTTACCCATTGTATGCAATGGCTCTTTTTCATTAAGAGATTAGAAGCCAGATTCAGATCTGAGATCCCACTCTAGCTCTGCAAGTGGGTAACAAAACAACAGCCAGCATATGTAGATGAATTTCATACTACAATTTGAGTAAAGGCACCAGTTTTTATGGGTAGGCTGCTGCCTCTTGTGCCTATAGAAGTTCACAAGTTCCTTTCAGCTGTCTCAAACAACAAAATCCATTGTTTAAAACAACAAAAGCAGTATTTCCTCTGTGAAGTGATAAGCAGAAAGTACTAACGACATCTACACAGGATATTTGGGGGGGAGAGGAGGGGTTACTTGTGGAACTGCTCTAACTTCCATATACGCACTTGAGAATACCCCTGAAGAGCCTGGAATGACAACAGACTCCACCTCTTCTGGATAAACAGCCTAGGTCTTTACTGGCAGTTTGAGCAGTTCTGTAGTTCTAACAGCACAAAAACAGGAAATTGTGCACCAGCCCTTACTACCGTTGAAGATGTGTGTAAACCCCTTTAGTATAAAGTGTGCATTTATTTGTTTAAAAAACCCCACCTATACTAATGACAAACCTTGGAGAATAGTCTCTTATCAAGACTCCTTGGTTTTACTTAATCATTTCCTATTAAATTTGTTGCCTAGTAAACCATTAAAAAAATCTAAGCTACTTGAAAGGAAGCATTAACCCATCTGTGTTTAAACCAGTAAAGAACAGAGTCCAAACTTTTATCTTGCCTTACATACTGTGCACAGGTAATGAAGCACTAGATGTATTTGAGATTACCCACTCTTATCTAAGGATTTTTTTTTACCATGAAGAATTTACTGAAAGGAGAGAAAAGCACTTTCTGATTATTACAGTCTGCTGATGGCATGTGTCCTTTAGTAGAGCAAGACAGGAGGCAGAACTGTGACAGGAACAAACCCCCAACTTCTGACAAGTTCAGATCTAGATCTGAATATTATAGATCCAGCCCCAGTAAAAAGTACTCGGAGAATTTTTAAAGAAATTTTAACCCTAATATTTTCTTCATAACAAGTGGGGACAGAGGAATGAATTTGCAAAATTCTCACAAAATATATTATACTTTCTCACAGGAAGTTTATTTT